AAGAGTATAGGGAAAAAAAATGAAAGCGGAACAGCTGACCGACCGAACGGAGAACGGCTATTTCGAGAGGACCCTTTCGTTTCCACATTTTGATATATACATATATGTATCTGTGAACAGATGGTGAAAAAAAAAGAATATACCTATATTACATACCTAAGACATAAGTGAACAAAAAGTATCTAATACGCTATTATTGATATAGAACACAAAGTGAATATATATATGAGAAAAAAGTATATTATATATATATAAATATATATATATATATATAAAAAATTGATATATTGACGCTGTAGGATTATTATACTGAGGCTGAGTGCGTTTATTGCGAAAAAGAGAGAAAGAGCGAGAGAGCGCGCGAGCGAGCGAGCGAGAGAGAGAGAGAGAGAGAGAGAGATAAAGATAGAGAAGCCGCGGTTCTTTTTTTCCGAACGTCGTCGAGGACGAAACAAAAGTTCACGGGCAGAATTTTGCACTAGGCGAACTAAAAGGCTTGGAGACTTTAGAATCGAGGAGATGAAGTAGCTTGTATAGGAGGTTTTTTTTTTATCGGGTCGACATACAAAACGGACATGCGTGACTCTGGCGCTACCTTAGTGAGAAAGCTAATTCATTTTCAGCTCACGGATGCGTGTCTCGTTTATCGATAAACGCTTCGAATGATAAACGCTTTTGTCTTTTTCCTTTTCTTCTTTTATGTTCATTTCTATCAGTGTAGATTGATTTTAATCTCGGTTTAATTATTTATTTTTTATCTTTTTCTGATTCTTAGGATTAGAAAAAGATGGAAAGTAAGTTAAATTGAGAATAAAGTAAATCTACATTGATAAAAATATTGACATAAAAAAAGAAAACTAAGCGAGCAAAGGAAATGGACTATTTCTATCAAGATCAGAATATAGATTAATCTCGGTTTACTTTTTATTTTTTCTAATTCTTAGAATCAGAAGAACATAAAAAGATTATTAAATTAAATCTGAAATCAAGGTTAATTATTTACATCGATAGAAATGGACATGAGACGATTTCGAAACTAACACGTTAAACTGTTTTACAATCGCAGGACATGTTTAAAAAATCAGGATAGCTTAGCTAAATTTAATAAAACAATTAGAAATAAATCAATCCTTTTTTAGGAAAATCTGTAAAATTATAAATTTATTTCACGAGAGATTGGTGCGATCATCGATATGTGAGACGGAATCCAAGAGTTTCAGATCACACGCATGCAGAAACCGATCGACAAGGGCTTTCGTTCCACACACGTGTGAAATCTTTCCTTTGATCGTTGTTATTGCCGCGGTGTTGAATGGTGAAGAAAAAAAAAAAAATCTGCGAGAAAAGCGAATTGCACAGCGAACAGCGACAGCCAACTATAAACAGAACATAAGTAGTTTCCGTACACACGATTTACGACTAGTTTACAGGACGCGCGGCCGACGACGGCGTTTTCCCTAAGACTGGAAGAGGGTTCAAGCTGGGGCGCGATCGTGCTGGACCCGCACTCCCTTGAGAGGAGATTCAGGAAATGCGCGATCGCGCCGAGCCGAGTTCTTCCGCGTCGTCGGGGCCACGCGAGGACGATACACGCCGCGTTTCCGTTTCTCTACTATAGTTAACGTTTAAGGGACAACTTAGATGTGGCATCTTTTCATTTTCGCGAGAACTATTAGTCGAGCAATAGAATCGCACACCTTTCAGAGCCCGGTTATTTAATCGCACACGAGCCCGAGTAACACGTATGTATACACACATACACGCGGAAATGCGATTACGCTGTAACACGAATACACACACACAACATACACAAAATACATACAGAGGACACCTCCAAGAAGCCGAGAAAACGAAGAGACATACGAGATTGTTTGTCTTTATTGTAAATAG